GACTTGGTTATCAGTTGTCAAACTAGTTGCTATGAAGAAGCTGCAAGGTAAGTTCTTCAAGTGCAGACTGAAGGGATACTGAAAGAAAAATTGCCCAGAGGTGATGAAAAGAACCTGACATGGGCATATCAAGGCCTGATCAGTGAATGAATTATTGATTCAGGAATTACTGATTATGTTTGTTACTCTTTGTAGTAGTTCAAACATGGCATACCTGTCAGCAATGGACATAGATATTTTAAGCTTGAAAATGGGAACTTTTGTCTGCATTTGCAGTAGGACAAGTTATTTATAAGACTATGGTTTTGGGTGACTGTTTATTTGTTCCAGATTTCAAGAGAAATTCAATTTTTGTTAGTTGTTTTGGTTAAAACATGGGTTGACAATGCAATTGATTCCTCAGTTACATTTCGAAGTTCATCTTCGTCTTGTTTGTTCTGGTACATTGTTTAAATAGTCTTTATTACCTATGTCCTATAACCTTTTTAAATTTGTTATGTTGAATGGAAATGATGATAAACAAGGATTTTCACCAAAGAAATAAAAGTTTCAAATGAAACATAACTTTGGCCTTTGTGATTGAGTCACATTATCTCAAGTAGAAAATATGTTTTAGTTAAAAGAGGGACTGGAAGTTCAATAATCTTTTAACTAACAGCTACATGTTAGTACTATTTGGAAGGTAAAGTGGCCTAGCAATCCTACAAGGGCCAATAAGGTTTGCGCAACTATTCAACTGGAACTGGTATATACTAAAGTATGTGGACCACTTAGTGTTCAGACCAGAAGAGGTGATGAGTACTTCATTATATGAATGTTTACTCTGGATTTGGACAGATGAACCAAGTGCGCTATAAGTCTAAAGCTTTTGGAAATTTCCAAGAGGTTTAGTCTGAGGCAGAAAAGCATGTAGGTGTTCAAATCAAAAACACTTTGGTCTGACTAAAGTGTTGGCTACCTGTCTGGTAAGTTCAGGTGTTACCTGATTTAAGAGGGGATAGTTTTTGTAACTGTCAACTCTAAGAACGCATTAGTTGAATAAAGTTGCAGTATGCAAAAATCAAACATTTTTAGACTTGGTGAAGATCATGTTCAGTTATTCATCTTTGCTAATGTTGTTCAAGGGAGATGCCTAAGAGAAGGAAATCTATCTTCTTAACTTGGTTCCGTCAAAGTTTGTTGTAAAGACACCTAAAGAATTATGGAAGGGGTGCAAGCCCAGATCAAACCCTATTCGGATTTAGGGTGCTACGGCACACGTCCTACAACAACAGTCAAATAAGATGGAATCTTGTATGGAAGAGTGCATATCTTTTGGCTACCCTAAGAGAACTAGGGATGATTTCTTCTTTAGTCTTAAGGACAAGATAATCTAAGTGAGCACTCACATGATTTTCTTAAAGGAAGACTAGATAAGAAATTATAAGCTCTTAAGTTAGGTTATTCTTGATGAGATTTATCTCAGATCAAGAATTTCCAGAATCTCTAGAAGCTTCATCCACTGTTCCCTTGATTGTTCAAGAGGGGATAGATATATCTCTAAGTGAACAAACAAGAGAACCATGATTGGAAATTCAACATGATAATATATAAGTGAAACTAGTAGAAATATTAGTATCACATGTAAATGAACAATATTCAAGAAACTGAAGATCCATCATTTGACCCACTCTTTGTTTTACCTATAAATACACAAGGTCTAGTGCAGTACATTCGTATTGGGAGAGAACCTTGTTAACTCTCAAGTTGTCTCTTGTTGAGTGATATTGATCCTACTAGTTACGATAATGCACTAGAAGATGTTGTTGATCAAGTGTTGCTCAAGCTATGAACAATGAGATGAAATACTTGTATTTCAACTCCGTTCGGTCCTAGTAAAGACACCAAGAGGGGTAAAACCCACAAGGTGCATGTGGACATAAAAGGCAAAGAGAGGATGGACAGGAAGGTGAAAACCTTCAAAGCTAGCTTGGAGGCAATTTTTGCCAGACGCCATGCTTGAGTCTATCCAGATTCTCTTAGTTGCTATAAGTCTCAATTATGAGATTTCATTTTGGGAGTTGGATGTCAGGATACCTACATACAACAACCAAAAGGGTTTATAGCAAATGAGTAGGAACACACGGTATGCAAGTTGTGAAAGTCAATTTCATAGACTTAAGCAAGCATCCAGGTCTTGAAACATCAGTTTTGATCAGGTTATCAAAATTTTGATTTTGAGAGAACCTTGATGAATGATGTGTATTTGTATGTAAAGGATACAATGGAAGACAGTAGCTTTTCTGGTACTTTATGTAGATGATATGCTCCTTATTAGAAACAATGTGGAGGTAATATCAAGCAAAAAGAGTTGGCTAAGTTAGTGTTTTGGTATGGAAGTACTGGGGAAGCCAATTATATTCTTGGTATAAAACTCTTATGAGGCCGGAAGAATAAGTTGTTGGCATCACCTCAGGCTACTTACATTGATAAAACCCAAAATTCAACATGAGAATTCTACGAGAAGAATTATAATTCTCAGATGTGGAATTCATCTTCCTAAGGAGTGACCAAAGACTTCTAAGAAGGAAGAATGCATGAGCAAGATATCTTATGCTTTGGCAAAGGTAGACTCATGCATATCATGTTGGGCGTTAAACCAGACATTTGTCACGCAGTGGGAGTAGTGAGATAGTACCATTTTGAACATAGAGGAATACTAGATTATTGTTAAGCATGTACTCAAGTATCTTTGGAGAACGAGAGATTATATGCTGGTATATTCTAGTGGGAGTCTTGAAAAGCTGAGTTTTCAAAAAAATCAGTTATTTCAAGTGGATATTGACTCAAGAAAATCAACCTCGAGCTATGAGTTTTTCACTAAACTCAGATAGCATTAGAGGTGGATCTTGCAGACCCAGTTACTAAGAGTTTGCCTGAATTTGTGTTCGAGAGGCATATTACTTCTTTGGGTCTTAGGAGGATCCCAGACTTGCATTAAGCAAGTGGAAGTTATTGGTTTCATTGCGCTCTTGGAATAAGACGATGAAACAATAAAATCATTTTCTGAATTTCATAAATAAGGTTTTATTTATTTATTTTGCGCACTATTTACAAACATAAAGGTCCGGATCAAATTGTGGAGTATATGATCATATGGATACGTTCATGGAGGACATGATCATAGGATCTCACAATTGATGAATGGAGTCACAACCGTTAAATAAAGTTGGGCACTTTATTCAGGCTGCAATATTTTATGAAATGATTTTGTCCGAATCATTGTAAAATATTGGTGTGAATTAACATTCACATTGAAAGGATCAAGGAGAGATTTGATTAAGGTTGTTTTTCTGTCATAAGGTATCAAATCTCCAGTTAACTATAGTTATGTAATTGCTCTTAATCCTGAGTTTATTATAAATAGGTAATCAAATAGTTTTCATTCTTTGATTTACCAACGGGTGAGGTTCGATCTATTGACGGCCAATAACTCGGTATTTTGGGAGTGAGATTATTTGATTATCGGTATTTATGAGATAAACAACATGGAATTTGTAGGATATGTCCCCTTGATATGTTTTGGTACTTGGATATTAAAGACACTGGCCAGTGCATGTAATCCATTAGAGAAACTATCATAGTCAAGGGAATAAATAATTGATTGAGTTACAGAAAACTTGTCAATCAATTATAGACATTCTACAAAGGGGCGATGCATATTCATCTTATAAGTGTTGTTAATCTTGGAGTTCAAGTTCGGGCTTTTAGTGGAGTAGCACCGAATTAGATAATCATTCGTTGATTATCAGGAGCCTTGATTAATAACAGATGGTAGATCCCCAAGCTAGCTTGAGACAAGGGATGGGGTATTTTTCGGATAGATGATGACTTATGGGTTACATGATCTTGGGTTTTACGACTCAAGTTTGTATCCAAAAGAGCAAGTGGGAGATTGTTGGGTTTGCTCTTTTACTAAAGCCCAAATGGGTTATTAGTATGAGAAGAGCCCAAGGAACCTAGAGCCCAATGAGCTAGGGTTTCTTGGAACCCATATAAATAGTACCTCTTAAGTCATCAGCCTCCAAGGTCTTTTTTGTGAGAAAGAGGCAAGATCAGAATCTAATCAGTGCCCACACACTTCCCCTTCCTCCTCGAGAGATAGTTTGGAAGATCTGCCACAGTCCAGCTTCAAGGAGGTTGTTCGTGCTGCGGCGCTGAGGTGAGCTGTTCGTGAAGAGAAATCCTACAAGGGTAGATTCTACACGAGACCTGTGCACCGAGAGGTAATTGTGAAACAAGGATGATTCAGTAAGCATACCAATGTACTAGGTCCTAAATCGCTTCCGCATAAATCTAAGATTTCCTTCATAAGTGAGCTTGGGGTGGAGAGATCCTTGAGGACCCCTTGTCTTACTGAGATTTCTTTTTAGAGATCTCACCCCGTGTTGGGGCACATTTTCAGGTAATAATGATGAAGTCATAATTTGAAAACGGATTGACGCGAACACAGATTTTTTGTGTCGTGTAAGCGGATCGTATTGAAAATTGTCACCCTTACTTTCAGACACCCTGATCACTAATACACATTAAATAATAAAAAATATAACAATAAATGACAAATGTTAAGACAGTGAGTATTTATTTATTTATAAATATTTTTTACTTTCAAAATTAAACGAAATAATCAATTAATAACGCCTCGATAAAATTATTAAGTTTATATACACCAACCAATTGTATAGTAAATCAATGACGTCACAAAGAAGCCGAATCCAATAATCCACAGATTTCATCCCTTTATTTCAACTAAGTATATATACAAGATTCCATCAAATTAATCGCACTAATATAAAACCCATATAACGAGTTTTCTTTATAATGCTAATATCAATATATCATACTACATATATAACACAGTAATCTGCACTCAATCACCTATAGGACAAGATTACTTGCACAATCCAGGTTCTCCTTCACACGACATAAAATACAAAAGAAAAAACAAGAAAACACAAAAACTATAAAGGTCGTTGGCCTTCAATATTGCCTGGTGGGTCATAGCTGCAAATAACAAAAATCCACCCATTGTTACACACTGCTCTTGCACACCCAAGATGAACCGTATCGCGCCAAATGACCTGAGTATAATGCAAGCATGCACCATTAACACATGAGTTGGAGTTATGATCATAATTGGGCTTCTCCGCCACCCACAACTTCACGGCATCTGTAGCCGTCATTTCGCCGTAAACCTCCGCCACGTTCTCCCCATAAGGCCCGTAGGAGTGCACCAGATTGCAGTCTTGGATCCTCGAGTTGGCATAGTTCTGAGCATAAGCTTCAAGTGTGTCGTTCCATGAGAGTGGACCAACACCAACCTCTGCGCGAGCCTCATTGTGCGGGTCAAGGAAGTCTTGAGGGGAGTAATGTGCTAAGGAAATGCAACACATGGAGAAAATGGTTAAGAGCAATAGGTATAAGGATCTCATTGTTGCTTGCTTGTATCTTGGATAATGGATCATAGTGAAGGATAAATAGTTAAAGCCTTCAACGTTATTGTAGGAGAATATATAATGGTGCAAATTCCACCATAAACAGAAGTGATGATAATACAAATAGCGGGTAGCCTCTTCTTTCTCTGGTTCTCTGGATTCGTTGAAAAATGTAATAACAAAAATAGAGAAGCATGGCCTATTGGGTGGACAACCTTTTCTCGTTATTAAAAATAGATGTTACGAAATATAGAAAACAAAAGCTGCTGAAAAAAGTAAGTAGGTTACCAACTATTAATGGTCAAAGTGATAAGAAACTAGTTTCTTTTAAATATATGTCTTAATTCGAGCCTAAAAATAAAGAAACTGATTTTGAGAGAATCGTTACTTAATTATAATGTTTCGAACCAGATTAACCAAATAATAGTTGAGAGAGGAGAGAAAAGATCGATTGATTAGAAAGAGAATACAAACAAAAGGCGTACATGATTCAGTACGGGTGTGAAATTAGAATAATTTGAACCACATAAATTATCTGTAGTAACTTTAATATAATGTTGTTTTGGGACAGAAATTATAGTGTTTTTGTAATTTTAATTTATTTCAGAATTATTATACTTTTTATAATTATAATTTTTTAATATTTTAATCTTAAAACGACATTATTTTAAAAATAAATGCAGATAACTTATTATAATAACTGCAAAAATATTTTTTCGTGTTTTATTAATAGTTAAATTGAAAATTTTAATCTTCATGATTTTAATTGGGTTCGCACAACTTTTTTTTAAACCAGTCTTTACATCAATAAACGTTTTGAAAATAGTTGTCTTCATTATTGTAAACTTGCGTTATAACTCTTGGGACAGGGTACCTCGATCAACGCAAAAGAAGTCACAGTCCGTTAAGTCGAGCAGTAAAGCTTGGCATAAAATCATTAGGTCGGCCAAATGCAAAAAAACAAAAATGCATAAAATCGGAGATGTAAAAAAAAAAGCACAATAAATTTTAATGTGAAAACCCTCTTAATGTAGAGAAAAAAAATAGAAAAAATTTTATTACGAGAAAATCTTCCACTATGAATCGTAGGATTACAAAGATTCAAACTTCCCTAGTCATAGAGGTACACTCAGGTAGTGTTTGGTTCGAGAAAAAAAAAAATTTACTAGGGAAATATAATTGATAGGAAAGTGGTTGGAAAATGAGTTTGATAGGAAAATGTAAAAAAAGTTGTTTGGTTGACCCAAATATTACCAGGGAAATTTATTTAAATATGCAAAATCTATGTTCGGGAGAAACTTTGCACCTGTTTTTTCACTTCTCCAGTTATCTCAAAATACCACATCTCAAGTGGTATTCTGTAACAGTGAATTTCATCCAAAAATCAACACAAAAGTCATTTTCCCATCTATCCTATTTGTCTGGTATTTCTTGAAAAAACCTGAACCAAACGTGGCATTTTCCAATATCCACCTACACTTTCCCATCAATCCTAAAATAAACCTTCAACCAAACACTACCTCAAGCTTCACCAACAATGATGGTTACAAAATTCTTCTTCACATACTTAATCTTCTCTTCATAGGATTCTGGCACAAGGTCTCTAAGCTTAGGTTATAAGATTAGGTTAACCCTTCCAAAGGGTTTTATATTTCTTCATATAAGAGAGGTGAAACCCTTCACCTCCTTGTAGAATCTTCTTCATAATTATGAGGTAGGTATTTGTTCGATCCTAAGGGTATCGAGTTGTCCAGTCAAAAACTGGTGAATTACTATTGGATTTGTATGCCTTTTCTTAGGTATCTATGGGAGAGATAGTCCCTTAGAGTAGCGGATCATTGTGCATAATAATGGAGAAACATAGCCATGACATGGGGTATGTGCACAGTGACAACTAATAGAGAGAGCAAAAATGCATATATGTAGGCTTTACTTCTTATTTATAGAGTTTACTTGTGACTAATGAGATTTTTGACCTTTTGTGTATTTTTGGGGTCCGATGCTTGATTCATTGAAGATACGGTAGGATTGATATCCTTTAGGAATCTTTCCTTATTTCTCTCTTAGTTGTTTGCCTTTATTGAGCCCTCTAGAATATCAGACCTTAAGTTAGGCCAATAATAGTTTCCCCCAAACCGATAGCTTGGGTGTTCGGGCTGTAGCTGGTGCCAGGCTAGTGATCCCAAAGTTACCTTTCTCTTGGCGTTCCTATTCCGGGTTGGGACCTGTCATACTTGATTAGACAAGTCAAGCTTTCTGGTCAATACCTCAACCGTGTCCAAGGTCAGGTTTGCCAAATTTCATTCCTCCAAGACCCAGTCAGATCCTAGCTCGTGCTGAGAAACTTCTCATTTGTATCACTTGGTTCAAGTTCTACCTTAACTCTTAAATCTTCTATTCTTGGTTTTTCGTGTTGGGTTCCCTCCACCTTTTTGGTCGAGGTCCCAACTGGGTTTGATTGATCTTTCTTTAGATCGCCTTGTTCAGGGTCTTACCCTGCTTTTCTGGGTTTCTGGCGTTCATATTAGCTCGTGTTCCAGGTCAGATTATAGAAGTAGAGCTGGGCGGGAGCCTTTTGCCCTTCCAAAGCCCATCCAACAGTTACACCTTTACACTTGTCTTAATTTGATTGGTTGGATGTGCATTAGGGGGCGCATGCTAACTTCGCACTTTGTACACCATCATGGCATGCTGACTTCGCACTTTGTACACCATCATCGCATGCTGCAAAGGTCTATGTCATAACTGTTTTGCCCTTTGTGATATAATTTTTTTCCCTGTTGCTTCAAATTCGCACCAAAAGACCCTTATACGTTCATTTTGGTGTCTTATTCGCTCCAACTTCCAATTTCTTTGTTATATATTTCCCTCACATTTGTTTTCTCTTCTATATTTCTTCCAACATCACTTCTTTTATATGTTTCGAGTTTTCATCTTCTTTGGGGCTTTCTAACTTAGGAGACAAACTTGTTTCTTCTTCACCATTCATGCAGCTTAACATTATTCTCACATTCGATTTCCAATAGGTATCCCTTTAGACATTTTCCCTTTCTTTCTTTTTTAGTTTTTTGCATTATTCTTGGTGCTTGCGTTTCTGTTGTTGTATTCACATTTTCTGGGAAGGCTGGTATCTTTGCATTTTTTGGCAATTTGGTGTTTTCAAAGCCAGTTAGGCATCTCGAATTTGCTGGGTAATTTTAGTTTGTCTGAGTAGTTGTTTCGATAATAATTCTTGTAATCTCTTCCCAATAAACATTTTCCAAACACTTCTACATTTCTAAGAATGAATAGGAAACATTTGAGTGGGAGAGGTTCGAGTAGCCCATATGGTGCTTTGCATATGCGAGGTCGTGGCCGTGGTGACGATGTTAAAGAAGTAGGCTACCCTCAAGGGCCAAGTTTTGAATTTTTAACATAGATCGGACCGAGGAGAAGAAACACAATGCTCATTTGCAAAAACCATAGGAGATGAAGTAGGAAAAAAGTCTGTGCCTCATCAAGTTAGTCGAGTTCGAGCTCCCCTTTCCTTGCGACAAGATTCGCAGCCTGTATTGATGGAGAATCTGCGTGCCTTCGCCTTGTTGTTCTTAGGCGTGTTACTTCTTCTGGGGTAGTGCGTTTCAAGTCCATTGTCTCATCTAGCGTCCCTCATTTAGGAGGTCACCCCATCTTCCAAAGCGACTTATTCTTTGGAACGACCTATCAAAAGAGTTTCACCATCGTCACCGATTCGATCCTACCCTGTCAAACAGGAGAGGGTGTCTGAGTCTTCAACCTGCCCTTATTATGGCTGAAGTTCTACGTTAGCTGAGTGCGCCTTTGATTCTCTCATTTAGTTGACACTTGCTAAGTGTAGCCATCTTTTTTCCTCCATCGCGCCCAATCCGGGTTCCTTGGGGGAAGCTTCCCATCCTATTGAAATTTTGTACGAGTCTTCAATCTCGTTAATGTAAAAACCTGCACCGTTAATTAAGGAAATTAATTATATAAATATGAGAATTAGGAAATAATTCTATAATTGACCCTAATAATTATGAGAAGGCTTAAATAATTATGGTAAGTGATTAAGATTGCTGAAAGTCGCTTTTTTGACGAAAAGAGCAGATACCGGTTCTGCTACTCGGTATAAATGCGTACCGATGAAGTATCCCGGAAAATTATAATAAGTGCATGAATATTCCTAGAATAATATGTAGGACTTGTAAAACAAGTTTCAAGCCAAAATAATGAGAACTGGTGCCAGAACTGATACTGGCTATGAAAAAGTGCGTATCGGAAAGGTGCTGCGAAAAATAAAATAAAAATATGATAAATATTAGAAAAATGAGTAGGTTCTGATTCCTAAATTTGGGATTAAAATGCTAAGTGTAACAATTAGCGCTAATACAGTGTGATTAAGCTTTAACCGGCTATGAATATAAGTTTAGGCACTTAACTCTAGGCATGCTCAGATTTTCTACGTGAAATTTCTGAAGTGGGGTGCCTCCACCTTGTCACCTTCCTTGTTCCTCTTGAAAACTCAAGCAAAACTCATTCTTTCTCTTGATTCTTCCTCTTGATCTTGCAAACACTTGGTAGGGTGGGTTGTGAGAGTGTGAGGCTGTCTTTTATTGAGTGCTCAGCCACTGTTTGGGAAGGTTTTTGGTGCTGGCTTTGCTATTGAGTGGTGGGAACCTTGGTGATGGCACTTTAAGCTTCAAGGAGCCATCTTTTGTGCAAAAAATCAACCTTTGATCACCATTTTCGTGCACTTTGTGAAGTCAGACTTGAGGAGCTGTTGATGAGCTCCAAGAGCAGCCTTCGCTTCTGTTCTAAAGCCTTGAGTATGTCCCTTCACTTAATCTTGAGTTTTAATGCTTAAAAGAGGTGTCTTGGCATATTTAAGGAGTTAAACAAGTATGTAATCTGTATATGAACTTAAAAGAGTATAAAAATGCAGGCTTTAACGTTTTGAAGTGTTAAAAATGGAACCTTGGATGTGGTATTTCGCAAAATGC